TCTTTGCCTGCGGTTTTACAGCGTTTTAGGCAAAAAACAATCGCTATATCGGCAGATTTTCAAGAAATGTTTCATCAAGTGCTGATTCGCCCTGACGATCAACACGCTCAACGTTTTCTATGGCGTAAGTGTGACGTTTCGGCTGAACCGGACATTTACGCAATGAACGTAATGATTTTTGGAGCAGCCTGTTCGCCTTTTACTTCTCAATTTGTGAAAAACTTGAATGCTGAACGATTTGCAAACAGCCATCCGAAAGCTGTTAACGCAATACAAAACAACCACTACATTGATGACTATCTCGATTCTGTTGACGACAAAGATGACGCTATCACGCTGGCGAAGGACGTGCAACGTATTCATAAGGCTGGCGGATTCAATATTCGGAATTGGTGTTCAAATTGTCCAGAAGTTCTGAACGCCTTGGGCGAATTGGCATCTGAGCTTAAGATTAATATCAGTGGTGATAATACCACAGAAAAGGTACTAGGCGTATTTTAGGTTCCGAATGAGGACGTAATTACATTTAGACTTTCACCTTTATTGTGGCATAAAGAAATTTTTAATGGAAACAAAGCGCCAACGAAGCGCGAAATGCTAAGCATCGTTATGTCCATTTATGATCCTCTTGGCCTAATAAACAACATATTATTTTTTGGAAAAATATTATTACCAGCCGTTTGGCGTAGTTCAGTAAACTGGGATGAAGAAATTGCTCCTGGCCTAGCCAAAGAGTGGTTTCAATGGTTAAAGTATCTGCCTATTTTACAGAACATCAAAATTCCGCGGTGCTTCTTAAAGCATCACGCCAATTACGAAGGGGCTGATGTTCAACTGCATACGTTTGTCGACGCAAGCGATAGCGCTTAAGCTGCAGTATGTTACATACGTGTATCAAAAAACAGCGTCGCCGAGTGTTCTCTTATAGGTTCAAAGGCTACAGTAGCGCCATTAAAACAAATTTCAATTCCCAGACTAATTGGTGTTCGGTTTTCGAAATTCGTAATGGAATCGCTATCAATTAAGATAAACCGAAAGGTGTTTTAATGTGATGCAAAAACTGTGCTAAGGTGGCTGTACTCAGACAGTAAGCGCTACCATCAGTTCGTAGCGCTACGTGTAGGTCAAATTTTATAGTCTAGCGATGTTTCGGAATGGAGATGGATCGCGTCAAAAATTAATGTTGCGGACGAAGCCATCAAACGATATAAGAAACTCGAGCTTTCTTCATCCAACCGTTGGTTCAATGGTCCGGAGTTTCTTACTTGGCCTGAAGATGATTGGCCACAAGAAAAACACAATATTGAAGCCACAACTACTGAGTTAAAGAAACATGTTCTTCAAATATCTGAAATTAAAATGCTCGTAGATGTTAATCGATTCTCGAAATGGTGTCGCCTGTGGAGATCAGTGGCTTACGTTTTACGATTTACTCAGAACTGTAAGAGAAGCCTGTTGAACCAACCAATGCTTTTAGGAGAGTTCCAGCAAGACGAGCTTTATCAAGCGGAATTATTGTTATACCGACAGGCGCAGCTTGACGCATTTTCAGAAGAAATAATGCATCTCAAAGCTCAAAAACGATTACGGAAAACATCCCCACTATATAAATTAACAGCATTTATTGATGACGATGGTGTTTTAAGAGTGGATAGCACAATAGCCAACGCGCCGGGGCCACGACAGAACCCGATAATTCTTCCAAAAAATAGTATAATTACAGCCTTAGTTTTTCAACATTACCACTCGAAATTCCACCACCTGAATAACGAAACGGTGATAAATGAATTGCGGCAATACTTTCATATACCACGCTTACGGTCAACAGTGAAATAAATTTTGAAAAATTGTCAAACATGTAAACTTCTAAAGGCTGTACCCACAGCCCCACAAATGGCGAAATTGCCACGAGCACGGACCACTCCATACGTCGCTGCTTTCACTTTTACAGGCGTGGACTTTTTTGGTCCGGTAGGTCGTTTCGGTAGGTCGGCATAGAGAAAAGAGATACGGCGCCTTGTTTACGTGTCTGACAATTAGAGCAGTTCACGTCGAAATTGTCCACTCTCTGACGTCGAGCTCTTGCATTTTAGCAATAAGAAGATTCATCTCTCGTCGGGGAACGCCTAAAGAATTCTATAGTGATAATGCTACCAATTTTGTTGGCGCCGAACGAGAACTACGGGAAGCATTGGCTGTTGGTAACAAAGATTTGTTAGTTCGTAATTTCACAACCGCGACGACATCATGGAAATTCATTACGCCGGCAGCACCTCACATGGGTGGCGCATGGGAGCGCCTTGTTCGCCCATTCAAAACCATATTTATAAAATTACTCCGGCACGCGCACCGACTGATGAGCTGTTGCACTGTATGATGGCAGAAGTGGAAAAAATCATTAACTCCCGGCCGTTAACATATATACCCATAGGCAGTGAACAAGAAGAAGCTTTAACTCCTAACCACTTCTTGTTAGGAAGTTCCAATGGCATGAAACCTCTTGCCATCTTTGGCGACCACTACACTGGCATGACAGAAAGAGGCCGATACGGGTAGGAGATTTGGTTGTGGTTGTCGACCCTGGTTCCGCAAGGAATGTTTGGCTCCGAGGTAGAGTGTTAGAAACAAAAACCGCTTCGGATGGACAGGTTCGCAGTGCTACTATACAAACCGCCCAAAGAGTTTTTGAAAGACCAGCCGTAAAGTTAGCAGTAATAGAGGTGGCTGGCGAAAAGGAGTAAGCCCACGAATCCATCTCGTCTTACTGAAGGGGGGTGTTACCGCCACTTGTCCAACTCCTAGTTTTAATAGTTATTCACCACTGAAGTTATCTATTTCGTATATACCTTCTACACGCATATAACTTTATACGTATACTTACGCGAATTTAGACGCGTTTGCAAAGTAGCAACCACATGTATATTTTTAAGGTTAATTATTGCGATTCCAACAGTATCCGAGTTGAGATCAATTAATCTAAAGTCTAAGATGAAATTGCCCGCCTTTCTTCACTAATAAAGTATGTATACTTTTACTGAAATTCTAAAATTATGTTTTCTATTAATAAGTGAATTTGTAATTCCATTTAGGAAGTTTAACACTCTTAAACTGTCTGCATTTGTGAAATAAAACATTCTTGGATTTCTACAAATTACTTGTTTTGGGAGTTTAAAATCGACGAAGATTTGCGGACTCAGCGCAGAGTAAGTCTCTCTGCTAATAATAGATAAAAGAAAATTTTTGGCTGATCGAATTAAACGTGGGACGCGGAAAGACAAAAGTATGTATGTTAATAACATAGAGTACCGAAGAGAATGCGGTGTTTTGATCCCTTTTGCATATTAATGTTGAAACAATAAATAGTTTTTTCTTGCATTTTATTTTGCATAAACTTTGTGTAAAATTCCTTTAAATTATGGTAAGTGTTATCGATTACGCCATTTTAATGTTCGAATGAATAACTGTCAGACAATGCCTGGAAAGCCTGAAATATGTTTGAAAGTTGTTGTGAAGCAGCTTCTATACAATTGCACTAAATCATATTTCAGGCTTGAGCGCCTCAAGCCGCAACGCCTGAAAAACCTGCTATGGAGCTTCAGCTTAAGCAGCCATATCTGGTAATTTTTGGCGATTAAATTATCGACAGCGAATACTTGAATCCGGTTGCAAGTCTAAACAACTACAAATTAGAGTTAAAACGGTGAATATGGCAACACTGCCAGTGGCACATTTTCATAATGCCTGGGTTATAATGGAAGTAACGGAACGGAGTGAACTGTCACTTAATTATCTATTGTATGTAACAATCTAAAATCAATAGATCCTTACGAATTCGCAGCGATTTGTTACGATTCGCCCCGTCCATTATAACCAAGGCATAAGTGGCATGCAAGGCGAATTCAATAAGGTTAAAGGCGAACCTGAATATTTCGCCATGAAAGACATTACATCAAAATGATGTATTTGTTGTAATTTGTAATAATGATAGTATGAATATCAGCGTATAATTAGTTAGTGTAATTTTTTACTTATATGCGGCTAGCATCACCTTATTAAATTCGCCTTGGTGGTGTTGTTATATCAGCTGATTTCTTCGCCTTACATGTATTTTGTTTTTGCTTTTACTGATTTGGCAGCCTCAAACTTTGGGGCGAATTGAGATTAAACATAATTGGGGTGTTCACAGTTCGTTCCAAATAGTGTCTCAAAATGTAGACGTCTACATTTTAAGACGTTTTCTAACCGTAAAATCTGTGGTGTTGTTGTTTCCCATACAAAATTGGAAAACGACGCCGTCTACATTTTGTCACACTCAAAGGTATGTTTTTTACGCGTCTACATTTTGCAACCTCGCAGCAGGGTTGCATTATGGCAATACTAATCACATTTTTTTTATTTATTGGGCACGTTTTCCGTATTTGCATTTAATTTGAGCGCAATTTCTGATGAAAAGAAACAAATCAAGGAAAAGGAATAACAAATATTACGAATTGGTAATTAAGTTAAATAATTACAATTTTTCAGAAACAAAATCGAAAGGCGACATATAAACAATGCACGCAAACAAGAAATGTCTGGCAACACCAGCAAAGTTTTGAGACGATTTTGCGACGACTGCTAGAAAGGGGTGCTCACAGTTTGATGCTAAAAATGTCTCAAAATGTAGACGTCTACATTTTCAGACACAATTTGGAACGAAATGTGAACACCCCAAATACCTGCAATACAAAATACATGTGGTTGTTGTTGTATTCTTGCTACCATCTTGTATTAATTCGCCTTGATGGCATGCAAATATATATATGTATATGTGTATGTACACGGTGCAGCGAAACAAAGGTGGCGCCGTCAGAGGTACCGCTACTTTGGTTTTGCCGATTTTGACAGTTGTGGTAACTCGTAAATAAACTTTTGTTTACAAATAAGTTGCATAGAGAAATTTGAATTATTAGTGAAAAATCGGTTAAAATCGTGTTAATTTGCAATTTTTTAGTGATTTTTCAGTTGAGTAGTGTGTAAAAACTGATAAAATGAAGTTCCGTGTATTAAATTGCGACAGCCGTCAAGGTAGTGCCTCTAAATGCAGCTTTTTTTCCTTTCCTCGCAACGATGCCGTGGCGAGAAAGTGGGTGGAATTCTGCGGACAAGTAAAGCCATTCAATTTGGATACCAGCTTCATATGCATGAAGCACTTTACCGACGATGATTATCAAAATGTTATGCAGTACAAAGCGGGTAAGTAGCATTTACTTTGAATTACGTAGATATCTAATAAAAGGATTAGGATTGGCTAAACGCCCGTTACTCAGGCGCGATGCGGTGCCATCCATTTCTGTGTGTGCTATACCTGTAGCAGAGTCTCAACCGCATGATGACCACAATATGGAGGTGCTTGAGCTAGGTAGTTGCGAAGGTAGTAAAAATAGTACGCCCTTAAAATTATATTATTAATCTAAGGGGTTTGTTACAGTGGTTGAAAGCAATACAGAATATCGACCCAAGGACGGTACTCTTGATGCTTCGACATCACCAATTCGTAACTGGGTTTACTATGACGGCGATCTTCAAGAAGTGGAAATGTTAAAAGCGGAAGTGTACGTTAATAATTTCAAGATCATAATGTGCAAATCAAATCATAACTTATATTTTCTACTTCTTGCAGAGCGACATTGAAGCGCGAAAATGCAATCCTCAAAAAGCTAACGCAAACCGCTAAGCAGAGTACCGAGATCGCTACATTAAAGCGGGAGTCTGACCTTCAGCTGAAGAAGCACGCGTGGGCAGTAGAGCTGTTGAAAAAGAGTTTGGATGCAATGGCTGCCGAAATGGGAAATATAGAAGATAAACTGGCTTCTATATTCACCAAAGGTCAGATAGACAAACTGAAGACTGGGTCGAAGCGACGAAATTGGGCGGAGGAGGATATTGCACAGTCAATTACATTGTATGCTGCCAGTCCAAAGGCATACAGGCTGCTGTATAAGCAATGTTTTCCACTACCTGGAGTTCGCACACTGCAGACTTGGGCACAAAAAGTGGAGATTTCGCGCGGACTTATAAACCCAGTCTTCCGCTTGTTGGCAGCCGCTACCCATATGGACGAGGCACAGAAACTATGCGTGTTGAGTTTCGACGAAATGAAAGTAAGACAATCTTACTGTTATGATGTTTCGTCGGACTCAACATTAGCACCCGTCAACTATGTGCAGGTAGCGATGTTAAGAGGTAAATATTACAGAAAAGATTTTCTAAATAATATAAAATATTTGTAAAGCCCTTATATATTTCAGGTCTCATGGCAAAGTGGAAACAGCCAGTCTTTTATGACTTTGACTGCAAAATGACTTCCGTTTTGCTGCAAAGCATATTGCAGAAGTCGCAAGATTGTGGCTACAATGCAGTGACTGTCGTATGTGATTTAGGAGGTACCAATAGGTCGCTTTTCAATGATCTCGGCGTAAACGAAGACCAGCCGTGGTAAATAATGATAATTAGATGTATATTCATATTTCAGTCCCTATTAATACTTCTCATTTCCATAGGTTTATTTTCAATGGCCAAAAGGTTTACGTTTTCGCTGACGTGCCGCACTTGCTAAAACTTTTGCGAAATCATTTCCTTGATCAAGGTTTCCTAATTAATGGGAAACCTGTGAAAAAGGAAATAATTTTGGAGTTATTGTCAATTACAAGCACGGACTTGACAATAACTCACAAGATTTCAGCAAGTAACTTGACCGTGGCTGGAGCTCACCGCCAAAAGGTCAAGACGGCTGCAAAATTATTTTCGCACACTGTAGCGCAGGCCATCACAAGGGCAGCAAGTGTGGGTCACCTGCAGAAGCAAAACTGGGCCGAATGCTTCCAACTGTTTAAAACAGTATGTATTATTGATATTCCTATATACATATATATATGTGAATTATATGTGAATATATGCACATACATATATGCATATACATATGCACATACATATTTAAACCCTAATATTAAAACGTATGTTAAAATTATACACCATAGACGAATGATTGGTTTGATGTTTTAAACGTCAGGGTTCCCCACGCCGACTCCAGGAAGCGGCGTCTTGCATATGGTCTAGCGCTCGAGGAGCAAGACAAGATCCTTGACGAAATGACCAACCTAATAAAAAGTATGAGGGTGATTGGCAAATTCAGTCTGCTGCCATTCCAAAAAGGTAAACTAATATGTGTTTCTCAAGATAAATATTAATTTTTTTCATTTTGCCTAAAGGAATCATACAAACGAATTTAGCGTTAAAGTTGATGTTCGAGGATATTAAAGCTCGATTTAACATCAAGTATGTGTTAACGGATCGCCTCAACCAGGACGTTCTGGAAAACTTCTTCGGAATTATTCGTTCGAAAGGCGGGTTGCATGATCACCCTGACCAGCAGGAATTTAAATACCGTTTGAGGCTCTACTTGCTGGGACATAACAAGGGCGTCTTATCCGACTCTGCTAACGTAGAAGAGGATGATACGCCAGATTTAGAAGTCACCCAGCCGCCTCTTACAAGTACTTTAACATAATTTTTTAACTATTAATTATTATTACTATTAATTATTATTACTATTTATTATATAAATATATTGTAGTATTAATGATTACATCCCTAATGTATCGCCATATTTACAGGTATTTTGCTAAAAAACCTGAGTTCTAATAAAGAACTGTGGCCGGTGGAAGAGGCGGAATTCGACGAATTGGAATTTGACGGACTGGAGCATTTAGCCGGGTATATTTGCCACAGGTTAAAGGATGATATTCCAAGCACGTCGTTTGGTAGCAATGACAACTCATGTTCCTGGGCGAGTCACCTAAGCGAGGGTGGGTTGTCAATACCAAGTTCATCTATGATGGACCATATGAAAAATCTAGAGTCAGTGTTTAAAGCAATGAACGAAGATGGCTTGCTCATTACAAATGATTTTGTAAAAACTCACATTGAGCATGCTTCGAAAATTCATTGCGACATTAAAGTGAAAAAATTATTTTTCAGGGCAAGAATGTTCTTTAAAATAAGAAAATTAAATAAAGAACTCATTGAAAATGCCCACAAGAAAAAAAGAAAAATTAAAAAAACTCTGGTTTAGATTCATATGGTACCATTATAAACTGTAAGTACGTACTAAAAACATACGGTAAGTTGTCAACTGAAATGTTGTATAAATCCGTAGAAATTAAAAGTTCTTTGATTGTAGCATGCAGCAACGTCCGCAGTTCCCGCAAAGTAAGCTCAATGTTTAAGCCGCCTAAAATTATAAGGCATGGATGCAACGTAAGCCTATGAGTTTAACAAATAATCTGGCATCTTGTATAAAAAAATATCCATATTTATTTATTTGCAGGAGAATAACATGAATGAATCAAAGGCCCTTTTCAGGGCCGCCAATTAATTTACAAAGAGACAATTATTTATGCTTTCAAAAGTACAAATTAAATTAGGCCATCATTTTTGTGTTTACATGCATATGTATATGGAAATGTGCAAAAGGCCCTTTTCAGGGCCGCAAATTAACGACGATAGGGGCCTTTCTAAATTAAGGTAAAATTCAAAACTTGAAAACAGTTTTTTCGAGCGTTTGGTTTTGGAGTTATGTCAATATTGAAGTAGAAAACTACAAAAGGATCTTGCCATAGTCTACGAATATATGGAGCCCACTGTATGAAATTGTCGATTTCCACTTTACTACATTCAATTAATTTCGCCTATTTCGCATTGTTTCTTGTTCGGTGTTTCCCTATGGGATTCCCAGTTTTTGACGAGCATCAATCAATACGTGCTTTCCTTCAAACAAAGATTCCTGATTAGTTCTTTTACAGATCTTATTGGAAATATGATTTAAAGCTTACCTCGTAATACATTTTGATATATCACTTCTCACTGTATTCTGGAAAAAGGTCGAGTTCATAAATAATGCCGCGTATTATACGCATCTCTTTGAGGAAAGTAGATTTTCTCGATTCGCCTGCGACAAAAAGCAAAAGTTTTCCCTATATTTACAAATGTGTATAACATAAATACATAATTATAGAAATTGCGTTTTCAATTATCACCAATTAACCTGCATATTTATTGGGCCGGATCAATCCCTGTGATTTATATCTTTGTTCCAGCTCTTCAGGTATGTTGCGTAAACGACCAAGGTACGAAATAATAGTTGCGTTCCAGATGCTTCACGATATTCACGATTTGCAGGAACAGCTGTTGGTAGTACTGCACTCATGCACACTGCATGGCTCCGATTCGCGCTGTTGTCCTTCCATGAAGTGTGCCATGGTGCCCCATCTCATTATGCGTAGATGCAAATATAACGCTGCGACGAATCGCTGCATTTTGTGTATACAGGGCGTGCCAAAGCCGAAATGTTTTTTTATTATTATATTTACAGCATTTTATCACAATCATATCGGTTCTGCTCCAAGCAGCCTCCTTTAGCAAGTTAACTAATCAATCCCACTCAGATGCTGGCGCAGTTTGCTGCACCAGCCTTAATTGCAAAGCAATGGAGTACACTAAAACGTTTGCTGCAGCAGCCTTAATTGCAAAGCATGGAGTGCACTAAAACGTTCACTATTCTCCAATAGATTAGATGAAAAATGCAATATTCTCGCATTGATCAAAATTAAAACACCACTTTCGCTGTAAAGTGAACTGTTTTGACAGTTTGAACTCGTTCTACTTTTGTCTCTATTCTTTGTTTACTAGTGGTACACAAATGTCAACGGCCAGGACGGCGCAATCTTGTATTCTATCATTCTTGGTGTATGTAGAATGCCAGTCGGATTTGGTTGCTTTAAGCTAGGCGCACACCAACGCGATCGCGACAGTGACGCATAAGTGTTTTTCAATTAAAAGCCTGCGCAGACCAACGCGATAGTAGAATTGTAAAACTATCGATAGGGCCACCATGGCTGACCATATCGAGAACAAACTATCGATTGTACGCTCGCTTACATATGTACATACATACATACATGAAAAAAATTTACTTCATTGTTAGCTGTGGTGCAAAATATAGAAGAAGTCGGTGAAACCAGTGTATTCAATCTGTATTTGGATAGAGAAGAAAACATTTGAGGCCAGGGCGCTTAGGCCGACTGTGGAGTCAGTGACTACAGTGCTGAAATACAATGCAACGCCAACGTGGGACTCCAGCCCTAGGAATGGAGGAAGAAGGACCAAACAGCGCTGAAGAATTTGTTTTTAGTGACGAAAATTCAGAACCGATGATAAATTAGAAGAATTGTCTGAGCTCAGTAGCCCTAAAAAAGCTTGCGATAATATATTTTTATAAATAAAACAAACACATAAACAAAATCGAATTGCATTTTTAATTTGGTTGCATCTATATTTTGATATTTCGCTGCCATCTATTCATTAATTTATCAATTATTTAGAAGTTAGAATAGTGGCCAGAAAAATCACTAATTATCGTGATATTTTCCCAATAGTTTCGTCGCTAAACTCACTTGTACATCACCAACTAGAAGAAATGTATGAGCGAGTGAACATACTGTAAGGCAAATGCACCCATGTGTGTGCAAGAAAGGGATGCATATCACACGCGTGGAGAAGTGGTCACTTTTTCCCCAAGCCCATACAAAACTAACCGCTAAACTGACGAAAAGTTTTAGTCAGTTTTCCCAATAATTTAACCGATAATCATTGGTCAGGCTTCTTGCAGGGTCTATACTATCAATGTCATCGATAGTGGCAAGCGCTACTATCGATAGTCAATGGAA